AAATTAAAATTTGTTAAAATTATTTTTATAATAAATAATACTTTTGTTATTAAATATTTTTAAATTATTTTTATTTATATTTTAATGTTATTGAACATTTAAAATTTTTTAAGTTTTATTTAATAAATAGTGACACAATTTTATTTTAAAATAATATATATAATTTTAAGTAATTAAAAACTAATAGTTATATTCCGTAAATATAAAATAATAGTTTATATATAAATTTATGCATAAATTTATTTATACTTTAAATAAATGTATAATTGAAAACTTCAAATTAAAAAAAAAAAAGCATTAAGGGTAATAAAAAATCCTTTAAGTTAAAAAAATAATTACCAAAAACCACAAAAAAAAATTGGATTTTTAAAATTAGAAGTATTTTAGGAAATATATAAATATATTAAATATATAAGGGTGGATGTGAAAAAATAAATAAATATTGCGAATAAAATTAACATGTAATTTATAAATTTAATAGAGATATTTTAGTTAAAAAAGTTAGAAAATTAAAGATAAAATCATGAAAAATATAATTTAATGAAAATAAAATTATTCAAATCAAAATCCAATAATCCACTGAATCTTTTTACATCCAGTAAAATTTCGACCCTATGATGTGACCAAAAAATTGCAACCACACCCTGTATGTGTTCCTCAAATACGAATGTGCGATTAAGCCAATAAAATCACTTGAGCATGTTGAACTGGAGGTCAAGTGCAAGCCAATTGGAACCTTAATCGAAGTTGCCGAGGCAGGTTAAAATGGAAATGATTTTTCTTTTGATTGAACAGCTGCTATTGCTCGATTAGAATATTGTTTTACAGCTGCCCTGGCCCAAAGTGAATGGCCTAAAATTGAAGCGTGAGATCTAAGACGAACGCCCATCTTTCAAGGCCAAGAGTAGCTAGCCAGTGAATTGTACATGAAACAAGCCAGAAAAAAAAATAAAAAATATTCTCTTCAGTCATTGTCTAAGATTCTAAAATCAATCGTAACATCTCGACGGTTGTTGAGAAGATTTTCGAGTGCACGCTACCACCACGACAAAATCCATCCCCCTCAACAAATCTCCACCATAAAATCCCAAAGCCCACTGGGTCCTTCTTTTCTCCCAAGCGATTCTTTAATCTTTTAATCACACCTATCTTACTTGACCTAGCAATTTCAAATTAAAGCAGAATTGCCCGAATGAAGCTCCTTCAACCACAATTTCTATTTGAGGATCACAATTTTTTTGCTATATTTTATGTGGGTTGATTATCATTAATTATTCTTTGTTGTAAATGGAAATTAGAGAGTTAGTTTCTAGTTTCAATAAAGTTGCATTCCTTACACATATTAAAGCTTCCCCTAACTGATGTGATGAGCGGCCATAATCTGTACACGAAAAAAAGATGCAAATATCAGCGAATGTTAATTCGAGTAATAAATAGTTCAACATTTTTTAATTAAAAATTTAATTTTAAATATTATAAATAAAAAAATAAATATTAAAAAAATTATTTTTTATAAAATTTAATCTAATTCAATTCTAAAATAATCAAAATTTAAAATAATTATCAAACATAAAAAATTTTCAAAAAAAAAAAAGATGCAAATCTTTTTTGTTTATTGCATTAAATTCTTGGTGGCAGAGATCATACCAAATGCTCTCGGATATTTGCCTATGAATCATTAAGCAGACACAAATTATCTTCCTGCCTTACAAACACAAAGAAAGCCATCACTTATAAAGGCCCTAACTTCACCAACTAAACCGGTAAAATGGGTCTCGTCTGGTTGCAAACCACTATATCCTATATTGACCAATGTTTCTCATAAAACAACCCACACCATGCGCTAGCTCAAGTTGCAATGTAAATCACCAAAATATTGTTTGATATCATTTTTAAGATTATTGTAATAATTTAATTATTATGATAATAAAATTATCAAAATGACTTGATCATCAATAATTTTAGATTATATGTTTGATATAATATTATAAATTACTGATATTTTTAAATTATTATATTTGATATTATATAAAAAATAAAATCATATAGTACAAAATATCTAATATCACCTTACAAAAAAAGTAAAATATTTAATGCTTATTGAATCAATAATTTTATGAAATAGTTAAAACGTTATTTTGTTAAAAAAATTACAAAATATAAATTAATTTTGATATAAATAATTTCTAAAAAAATTATTAAATAAATTAATTATCATCTTTCTAATCAATATAAATTTATACCATAAAACCTTTTTAAAATAAATGACTAAAAAATTGATTTTTTAAAATTTTTAGTGATCAACTTCTTGGGTAATGTTAACTATATTTTTTGTGAGGGTAAATTAATCAAAAAATAATATTGAAAATTATTTCCCCATGGTGATAAAACATTTCCATCTTTAAGTTTGAAAATCAAATCTTTTCCCAAGGCAATAATCTTATCACCCTAGTGATTTAAGATCACTACTACAAAAAGATTTCTAAATTACTATCAAATAAGATGATGTAATTATTAAATGCATATTATCATATTTTTTAAATAGATCATCCCATACCAAACACTCTTTAAAAGGTGTTTGGTTTGTAAATTCTTAGATTTTGAAAAAGAATGTGATTTAGGAATAAAGTGATATTGAATGAGAATTTGTGATTCCTAAATTTTGTTAACTTAGTAAATGTAAGATTTTTGTGTTTAGTTCATAAGAATGTAAGATTACCCAATAAAATATGTTACTATATTATTCTTGATAACATGTGAATAATACATGATATTTATAATACTAATATATGAATAACACGTAACATATGAATAACACGTTGTCTTCATTATATTTTCAATAAATATAATTTTACAATTCTAATTACTATCTTAAAGTTATTGTCCTTATACAAATAAAACATATAGATAAACTTTTCGTGGTGAAGTCAATATAAGGTTTGAAAGAGGGTGGTAAACCTCTTTTGAGCCCCTAGAATAAATTTTATATATAATAATATTAAATAAAGATATTTTACATTCTATTTTTTCATATTTTAAACAAAAACTACATTTTTTTATCTTAAAAAAATTATATTTTCAACAAAAATTACATTTTTAGCTTAGAAATATCGTTTTTATTAAATTTTAAAAAATGTACTTTTCATGTTTTCAACAACATTGAGTTTTTGTTTAAAAAACGATATTTTTTAAAAAAGTCATTTTTTAACAAAAATTATATATTTTTTTATCTCAAAAATGTTATTTTTATTGAATTTTGAAAACTATATTTCTTTATATTTTCAACAAAAATAGTATTTTCAAGATTAAAAATATTGTCTTTGTTGAATTCTAAAAAAATATATTTTTTATATTTTCAACACAAATTATATTTTTAGTTTAGAAACATCATCTTTTTAATAAAGATTACGTTTTTTTTTTTATCTTAATTATGTCATTTTTGTTGAATTCTAAGGAGTTTTTTTTATGTTTACAATAAAAATTATATTTTTATCTTGAAAATATTATCTTTTCAATAAAGATTGTATTTTTATCTTAAAAACATCATTTTCGTTAAATTCTAAAAAATAAATTTTTTAATATTTTTAATAAAAACTATGTTTTTTATTTTAAAAACATTTTATTTTATTAAATTATAAAAAATAATTTTTTATTTTTTCAACAAAAATCATATTTTTAATTTAATTTTAATTTTATGAGAATTTCAATAATACTGTGTTAAAAACGTTACCTTTGTTTAAAATATATTAAAAAACAAATATTTTCGTAATATTTTATAAAAAATTATTACGTTTTTAAAATAAAAAACATTGATTATATAATTTAAAAATGTAATTAAGTAAATGCAAATAAGAAAAAATTTCATATTTCTTTTGAAATCTTAAAATCCCCGAGGAGCGGATAATTTTTTAGTCCTCTATTTTCTCACTTTTTGACTTTATTGGCGATCAAAAAATTATAATAATTACATTCTTGTAAAACAAATCAAAAAATCAAATTACAAAAGTAAATTTTTAAAATGAAAAAATTACTTTCCTTTGAACCAAATGTGTCAAAGGATAAAATTTATAGGCACATGAAATGAGTATATAATTTTAATAATCTAAAATATGATAAAATGATATGACACAAATATAATAAAAAAATAAAAATAATATAATTTAAAATTTTAATAAAATTATATATAAATTTAATAAACTAAATTTTTTTTATATTTTTATATTAATATAAATTATAATATATAATTTTTATATAAAATATGATATAAATATTTAAATATTAATATTTTATTGATAAAAATACAAGAATATTAAAAATCACACTACTACATACACCGGATTTATGGCCTGCTTGCTTTCTCCTGGGGAGATGGGTCGGGGAAGGGGGAATCCGAGGTTGTAAGTGCTTGACACGCACAATGCTAGCTAGCTCAATATATTTTCGAAATGTCAATTTCAACCGTGTCAAGTGTAACCACATAACCTTACAGAGGATAGACTAGAGGTCCCCAACGGGCCATGGCTCCATGCCACACCTCTCCACGGGAAATACAGAGGCTTTGGAATTTGGCATACGATCCTTGAGCTTGTCCATGACACTTCCCTGACAAAAACTGACATCCATAGGACGGATGCAAACGGTGGGTAGCCTCATCTAGTGGCTGTCGTTCAAATATTTAAGGAGAGGGCCTCTTTCCCTGCACCTCCACAACTCCGCTTTTTAGATTCACACTGTAGGCATCCTTAAGGCCGCTAACTGTTTAATTCTCATTTGAATTCATCTGCACCATCAATTAAATTTAAATTTAAATATTACTTTTAAGAACATCCTTCAACATAAATTTTTTATTAAATTTTTTAATTAAAATTATAATAATTTTTATTATCATTTTTAATCTCGATCAATTTCACCGTTCATCAAAATCAAACTTCAGTGCCCAGGCTGCCCGCCTCCCCCTTGGAGCATCGCCCCCCACACCCACTCCCAAGCTCCATATTTTACGTACATTTTAATTTACAAGAAGACATGTCAAATAAGCCCTAACAAAAAAACTAATACTACTACTACTACAACAAGAATAAAAACATAGGAAACGACGTCGGTCCAAGATGATAATCCACTTGCCAGTTGCCACGGCAGATAAAAAAATCAAAATTACAAAATCTGGGGAGATATCAATCTAGTAATGCTAGTACTAGTAAAATCCTTAGATTAGCACAAATTACCTACTAAAAGGGTCAGCATTCCCATAAAACATTAATTAAAGACTATTGTTAGAATAGGTTAGATCATCTGAAACATCAACAGGCCAAACCAACTCAAATCGGACGGCTAACAATTACTAACAGATTTAGGATTTGTTTTACTGGATTTTATCAGACTCTAATTTTTCTCCTAACGACTCCGTAATCGCCGCGCCTCTGGAATCGGACTGAAACTGAACCGTACCCTCCGCTTTGATCTGTTGGTCTTTCGACAGCCTCATAGAGTCAACAGAAACGGCTTCCTCCTCTGGTCTGCACCGAGTCGCCAAACGAGTACGGTAACCGTACCTCCGTTTAGGAGATAAACGATCCAGATCGACCTGCAAACATCAACGGCAAGAAATCTTAGCCGTTAATTTCATGAAAAAGATAAAACAATCCAAACGATAGGGGAAAACAAAAAAGAATTTAAAATGAAAAACAAAGAAACAACAAGAATTGACCAGAGATCAAACGAGAAAACCAACCTGAGAGGGAAGATCTGAAACATTTTCTCTCAATCTTTTCAATGAAAACAAATTTATCGATTTAGAGACATCTAGTTCACCACCACAAGAATCTTCGCTACTAGATGAACTGGAAGCCGGCGGAGGTGTATTTGCTGCTGTGGACCATGGCACCACCTGATTATCTCCGTCCTCCACATCATCACCAACTGACACGTCGTCCTCAGAATCAGCAGCTTCTCCTTCTTCATCTTCTTCGTCGTTATTTCCTGCTTCGCTCTCTTCTCGATCATCGCCGTTGACGCACCTCTCACAGACGGAGACCGTGTGACTAAGCTTGGAACCAGTAGCTCTCCACGGAGTGTGAGACTGGCAGGCGTGACAGAGAAGACACCTCACGTGTCTCGCCACAAGGAAGTTGGCTCCGTGAACTTTAGCATCGCAGTCCCAGCATAAACTCGCTTGGTCCGATTCACAATACGTTCTTGCCGCCAATTTGCAAAGCTCACAGCTCTTCATCTCCTTCCTCTTTCAACCAAAACAGAGAGGGTGTTTCGGCTTAACCTGTTTGCTACTTTCTTCTTCTTTCGTTTTCTGAGAGAATTTTTTTTGTTTCGTATTTCCTCCAGAATTTTCTCTCGGGTATGCAGAGAATGGGCTATCGAGAGGGAATAGAAAAGAAACCAGCAACTTGCTAGGCTTATACGAACAGCCTTCCTTTTGCTTCAAATTACAAAATTGCCTTTAGAATCATCTCAGTAATTAACGAGCAAACATAGTGTTTATATAACAAAATTAATTATTTGTTTCAATATTAAAAAATTAAAATAGGGGGGGCAAACTTGTTATTTAAGGAAACGGTACGCACAAAGAAAGTAAATGGGAAAGAAGGGTGGGGGAGGTGTAGGGTTTTGTGTGAAGAAGAGTAGAAAGGCGAAGGCTGTGGTGCACCGTACTGCCAGGTGTTGGAACGTAAGGGCGCAATAGCTTATGTGGCTTTTATATGTAGATTATTATTATTATTAATCCTTTCCTCCGCTTCGGCCTTTGGCTCTGTTTCCTCGGTTTGTTGCATCTGCTTTGGTACATAAGATTTTTTTTCTTTCTTTTTGTTTTACGGTGACTGTCGGCCACGTGGCGTTAGTTGGTCTTAGAGATTTGGATTCGCTTCACTGCCCTTTGTCCGTCGGAGAGCTCATGCTTGCCTACGTGTCTTGCCGTGATTTAGGATCCATGACGTGTACGGTTGGGTCCCTCAATGTCGGCTATTTTTTCTCATCATTTTCAGCTTCGGATTATCTCTTGGTTCTCAATCGATTTTGATAGAGAGGATACGATAGGATTTTACTATTTTGGTGCGCACCCGCTGATTGATTATAAAATTGTTGTACAGTCACGCTCGTTGGACGGGATTCAATTGAGCCTAAACAAAGATGAGGTCAGTTGAACTGTTCGTCTATATATTTGCATTTTGGTTGTTTATTAAATTTACTAAATTATCATGAATAAATTTTTAAAAATTGATAAAAATAATATTTTTAAATTTATTAAATAAATAAATAAATTATGAACATAATTAAAAATTTTATTTATATTTGATTTATTTAAATCTACATATGTAAATTAACAAAAAAATTGACAAACAATTTATAAACATAATTGATTTTCATTCATTTATTACATTTAACAATTAATTACAAATAATATTTTAAGATTCATTAATTAATTAAACAAATTACTAATATAACAAAATTTATTCATATTCGATTGATCAAATTTGATAATAGTCTCTGTGTTCTAACAAAATTTAAAAATATAATCTTCACACTATTTTAATTTAATAATTTTAGTTCAATTACTAACCTCATCAAAATTTTGTTGTTAAAAATAATGATATGATTATTGACTTGATAATGTATAAGTTGATCTTATTGTTGTGGCATTAATTTTACTAACATGATATTGACTTTGTTAACATGAAAATATAATTAAATGAAATTAATTATCAAATTATGCAAAATGATATCTATATTCACACAAAACTTAAGTTTTAGTTTCTCTAATATAATTTATAAAAATCTCATTCTTATACAAGTTAAATTTAATAATATTGATTCAATATTAACACAATCAATGACTTTTTATTATCATTTTTGACATGATAGTTGTCATTTTAGAAAATATATGAAAATTTAAAAAAATCTTTAAAAAATTTTAAAAAATCTAAAAAATTTGAAAAAAAAATACAAAAACCTCATTTTTAGGCTTTTTTTGAATTTTTTAAAACCAATAAATTTTATTTTTTTCAAATTTTTAATTTTTTAGAAAATCATATTTCTTGAATTTTTTACAATCGGATTTCAATTTTTTTTAAAATTAAAAATTTTAATTACTAAAAATTTTATATTTTTATTTTAAAAATATTAAGTTTAGTTTTTCAATATTTTTATTTCTTTAAAAATAATATTTTTTGAATTTTTATGAAAAATCAGATTTCATTTTTCTTAAAAATATCTTTCAATTTTTAGATTTTTTAAATATTTACAATACTTTATTTAGAAAAATATATAGTGTGTATATATATTAATTTTATTAATAAAATTTAAAATCTAATTTTTAAAAATATTTAGGAAAATTTATATATTTTTAAATATTAAATTTAAAAATTTCTCAATATTTTAGTTATTTAGAAAATCATTTTTTTAACTATTAAATATTTTATTAAATAAAAATTTAAATTTTAAAAAATTGAAACAATGAATTTTTATAAATAAAATTAAAAAATTGAAAAAAAATTAGTATTTTCTAAAATTTTAAAATTCTAAATATTGAATTTTTTATAAACATAAAAATTGATTTTATTAAATAATTTAAAATTATGATTTTTAAAAATTAAAGTATTAGAAAAAATTTTAAATTTAATATTTTTAAATAATTGATAAATTATAAAAATTGAAAACTATTTTTTAAAAAATTGAAATTTGTTTTTTGAAAATTAAAGTAATATTAGTTTTCCAAAAATTAAAATATTTGAAAAAAATTAATGTAATATTTTTAAAAATAAAAAATTCTAATAATTCATAAATTTGAAAAAATTTCATTAGAACCTTATTTTTCTAAAAAAATAAAAAAAATAATTTTTAAGCAATTAAAATAACAAAAAAACTTAATTTTATGTTTTTATAAAAATCCAAAAAAGCCTAAAAACCTTTTTCTTTACTTTTTATCTTTTTTTTTTTATTTTTTAGATATTTTCTTTTGATTTTTTAAGACTTTTTAATTTTAATTTTTCTAAAAAAATTGTTATATTAACAAAGTTAATGGAAAGTAATTGATTTAATTAATAATAAGATCAGCATTATTAAATTCGACTAATATGATAATTAGATTTTTATAAATTATACTAAAAAGATTAAAATTCAAATTTCATGTAAGTACAGAAATCATTTACATAATTTGATCATTGATTTCATTCATTCATATTGCCACATTCGGCAAGTCAACACCATATCGACAAAGCCAATACCATGTTACCAAAGTCAATGCCCATGTCATTGAGTGAAAGATCATGTTAGCATTTTTAATGACAAAAAATTGACAAGTTAATGATTAAACTAAGATTGTCAAATCAAAATATTATGAAAATTATATTTTTATAAATTATAATATAAAAATTAAATTTCAAATTTTGTTATGTTAGCCTTGAATTATTCTTATTTTGAAATGACAAAATATAAGGTAAATAAGCTTCTTCAAGATTTTAAAAAATATTTATTTCGTATATGTTTTTAAGTTTTATATTTTAGTACTAAATAATATGATTCTTAAAGTTTAAACAAACATTTCTTTATTTTCATATTTCTCAAATCAAAACTATCTTTAAACATTATTTATTTGAGCTTAAATGAAAGTTCAATTGTTGTTTTTAAAGTGAACTTATTCATTTTAGACTTTATTCAATTTTGATAATATTGATCTTGAGAAATATATTAACTTAAGAATGTTGTTTTACAATAACAAAGTTTTCCAACACTGAATTTATTTTATTTGTCTGTATTAATTCACAAAGCTTTAATATTTGAATTTTATATAGTTGAAAAACTCTTTGAGTTTACTTTCTAATGGATCAAGAAAAATCAAAATCTAAATATTTTAAAAAAAGATTTTGAATTTTTACTAAACACTCTGTAATTATCTAAAAATTGCATAAGATATAGTTTTGAAAATTTACTATAATTCGTATATAATGAATTAGGTGATAAATTTTATATGAATAGAAAGGCTTTTAAGTTTAGTTTCTAAATCTTCAAATGATTTGTGATTTGAATTTTTATAACTCAAGATATGATAAAATTAGTTAGTAGAGTATAAAATAGGAAACATTCACCTAGATGGATAAGATCAATCCCCATAGGGAAGGGATAGATTGAATTTTCTTACAGAATGTAGGTTGGTGCTCCTGGTTGAAGAAAGGATCAATCACTCTATGTAGGGGATCGATCACCCTCTTGAAACAATTGATCCCTTACATTAAGGGATCGATCATGTAGTGTTATTTGCATGGTGTAATTGGCTTTTAAAAGTGAACCAATTGATCTTCTCATGGAAATGATCGATCAGATCTTATTTTTCAAGAATAAAATGGACAGTAAAAGTGAATCAATTGATCCTTTAATGTAAGGAATTGATCAGGTATGCCTTGGAATAACTCCAATGACTAGTTTCTCATGCTTTCAATGACTATTTTCTTCTCCTAATTATCCCTAATGGCTAGCTCTTCAATTTCTCTATATATTGGCCACTCCAACACACCAAGAAGATTGATGAATCAAGAAAGCAATATCATACAAGTCATATTTTCATTTTTTTCAAAGAAATCAAGAGTTTTAGAGCTTAAAATTGAGTATCCTTTATATTTGTTGTATCAAAATTATTGTTGTTATTCATTCATTAAATTTCTTTATACTTTATTAGTCAAACACTTAGCTTTTGAGAAGTATTTTAAGTTTACATTTTTATTAAATGATTTTGTAATTAAAAGGTGAGATATCCTTTTGAATTTGTGGGATTGAGAGGTTGCTACTTAGCCTAGAAAGTAGAGAGCGTAAGGTTTCTATCTTAAGCCTTAGAGAGAAACAAGATAAGATTGTAATTTCAATTTAAGAATAATGGATTGAAGCTTTAGTGTGGGCAACCAAGAAAAGAAGACATAAGTGCCATGTAGAGAAGGATCGAACTTCTATAAATCATTGTGTTTGATTTTCCTATCCTTATCTCTTTACAATATATTATTATTTATATTTGATTTTAGGTTCATTAATTGTTATTGTTTGCATTATATTTTCATCAAAAGTGCTTATTGTTTTAATTTTCATTTAATTATATTGAAATAATTTGTTTGATAAGAATTTAAAAAAATCCAATTCACCTCCCTTCTTGGATCACTATTCACTTAAAAAGCTAATATGTTAGAATACAACAATCATTATCTTAATTTAACATATTCAATTCATTTACACATTTAAATTCAATTGCATTAATGGAGCTTAATATATGTTGATGCAATTTTTATCACAGTTAAAAAATATGTGGTAAAATAGGATGAGGATACAACAATTTCATTCTAAATTCACAAAAGATTAAAAACTATTCGCTAACTCATATGATCCAAATCCAAATATCCCATTTATCTTAACTTTAGATTAGCCTAAACTATGTTTCAATCAAAGTTTATGAAATTTTAATGTAAATATATTAAAAAGGTAAAAATTATAATTAAAAAATAGTTGACACATATAATCAAATCATTGTCCAACTTTGTAATATAGTAAAAGAATTTATTATAAATATTATTTAATTTTATTTACACACTACAAGAAAAGTCATTTTTATTGGCACTTATAAGTGCCAATAAAAGATAAAAAAATGTCAATATTACTATTGTCGATTGTTTTTTGATTGATGGCTAAGTGAATGTTAATGAAAACTTTATTGTTGTCAAGTCACCAGTGCCAAGATTACATATGTATTTGTCAGTATGACAACCTTTATAAGCAAAAAACATTTAAAGTGCTGCTAAATGTTAC